GGCCGTTCCCATGTTTTTTTTTCAGCTTTTTTGGCTAAACCCCCCCCCCCCAAGTCTTTGGGGACTGGAGCAATTTGACATTCCGCATGTCCTGCCCTTCCTGACGGGCTAGATGCTAACGTGCAGATTTGTGTGTATGTGTGGTTGTGACGGCCAGCTTACGATGCCAGTGTTAACCACGGAGCCCTTCTCTTAGCTGTATATTCAGTCTCCCTGTAGTAAGGTATGCAGGCTCCTGTGCATATTGCCTTGGAAGCCAGCTCAGTGGAAATTCCTTAAAATAAAATGCCTGTTCGATCGCAGCCTAAATAGATAAAAATGGTTTTTAAAAAATTGCTGGATTTAATGCGGCAGAGGTGATCAGCGGCGTGCCGCGTTGGTTGTCAACTTGAACCTTCGCGTCTGTTTTTAAAAACAAAAGTCTTCCGCCGTCCTGACAGTTTCTGGGTTATGCCGTCTCCTGCACCTTGCCACACCTGCCGTAGGCGTCCCCTCTCTCATCTGCTCACACTTGAGCGAAATAGCTGGTGTCCAGCGTTCCCTCTAAGCTGAGTTAGTGTGAGCTGGCTCACAGTTTTTTTTTTAGCCTCCGGCTCACACGTTTTCGTCTCAGCTCAGGGAGTAGGGCTCCAGAGCAAACTCATCGATGCAGCCGCCTAATCGCTCGCTCACCACTTTAATGCCAGCAGCTCACAAAGTAGAATTTTTGCTCACGAGACTCCACAGCTTAGAGGGGAGCATTGCTGGCGTCTCCCTTCCTTCCTTGCCCATATCCAGTGTGGTCCTTAGTTCTGCTTCGCTCCTATGACTCATCTTGCTGTTTTTCTAGCTGGCGGGGCTGTGGGGAGGAGTCGGGTTTGTCTCGTAGTAAACGAAAGAGATAATGGGCGTGTGGCTCCTTTCCCAGCTGGGACCGATTTCCTCAAAAGTCAGGGTGCTCCCCCTGGTCTGAGTGGGGGGGGGCCAGTTCTGGGGGGGGGGTCACAAATCCTGGGAGGAGGGGGGGCATACTCTGGGTTTCTTCTCGCGGAGGAACAATCGGGGGCTTTCTGGCAGCGTTAAATTTGCTTCCAGGCCAAGTTATGCATTCTTTTTATTGGTTCAAGGGTAAAAGAGATAAGTAGGCAAGGCTTGTCCTGACCTGGATAGGCCAGGCTAGCCCGATCTCGTCAGATCTTGGTAGCGAAGCAGGGTTGGCCTTGCTTAGTATTATGGGGTGGGAGACCACTAAGGAAGTCCAGGGTCGCTCTGCAGAGGCAGGGCAAACCGCCTGTTTGTCTCTGTCCTGACCTGGATGGACCAGGCAGGCCCGATCTCGTCCGATCTCAGAAGCGAAGCAGGGTCAGCCTTGGTTAGTAGTTTTATTGATTTACCTATTTTTCAAATTTATAGTCCACCCTCCTTGCAAAGGGGCTCAGGGTGGATCACAGCAACAGTTAGGCCATCAGCAACACAAAACATAATAATAAATAGTTTTTGTGGTTTTTAATAAAGTGTTATTGTATTTTAATAATAATAATAATCATAATTAGTTAATTAAAACATTAGAAGAAGAAGAAAAATAAGAGATTGGATTTATACC